GGGTAGTGTGAGCTTGTACCGATAAACAAACAAAAATCAAAAAACTTATTGGGATTCAGATTGGAGTTGTAGATTCTACTAGGCAATTTGAAAAAATTATACTACAAATGAGTATGTCTACAACTTAGGTTTCTCTGATGTCTCCCAATAAAGAATCTCTTTCCTTAACTCTTCCAGGTAACTGTTATTGTGGAAGTTCAGTTTCTAAGGTACTTTGTATTCCATTTTTTTTAAGGCAGGGTCTCACTACCTACCTGACTGACCTAGGATCACTATGTAGACCAGGTTGGCCTCAAACTCAGAGATCCCCGTTTCTGCTTCCCACGTGCTGGAATTAAAGTTGTACAGCACTACACCTGGCTTTATTTTACATTCTTGTTGGTATGAAGACACATCAACTTCTGAGTCATATGACATCCAGCATCTTGAATAAACCATTAACAAATTGTAACCTTGAGCTTTCCAGCAGCCCCTGCCTCTTTCCCTCCCTCTCTTCCAGGTCTCATGTAGCCTAAGCTGGCCTTGGATTCACTATAGGATGGATGACCATGAGCTGATCTTGCTCTCTACCTCCCAGTGAAGGTCTGCTAGGCATGCACCACACTTGGTTTATGTGGTGTGGGGCATCACGCATGCAAGAAGTATTCTAGCTACATGCCTAGCCTTCCTGAGTTTCCTAAGTAAACAATCATATTATCTGCAAATGATAGCTATTTTGAATCCTATGCCACGGAAAGCAGTATGGTACAATGTTGAAAAGAGACCGTGATGACAGTCATCGTAGCTTATTAAAAGAGAATGCTCTTAATATTCCCTTAGAAAGGATGATGTAATTTACCACAGTTGTTTTATTAAAAAAAAACAGGAGTAACTTTTAAATAACTTTCTTTTTTAATCTGTTAGTATGGCAAACAGCATTACAGACTTTCTAGTCAATACATACTTGCAATCCTGGAATAAGCCCATTTGCTAATGTAGTCATATTAATTTCAGATGTCAGTGAATCCAGCTTGGTAGTATTTTACTTAGTATATTATTAATGTGGTGTCCTCATCTATTTTATTTAGATATATTAATTTCATTAAAAACGAGTATTTTCCTCATCATATCTTTAATCCTGGTACTTAAAAGGCAGAGGTACTTGACTGGTTGAGACTGAGGCTAGCCTAGTCTACATTGTGAATTCTAGGCCAGCTGGGGTTATAGGAAGATCCTGTCTCAAAAGATAAAAAAAAACAAAAACAAAAAACTAAACACACACAACAAAACAAAATCAACTTCCATGGGATTAAAATAATCTCTTTTGAGTATCTGGATGGGTTAATTTTCAACACAATGTGATTCAGTGCTTTCTTCCTGGAAAGACTTTTGTTTTTATATGAGGGACATGGACCTTGCTGTGCATAGCCTAGAGTTGCCTCAAACATGTAGCAATTCTCCTGCCTGTGCTTCCTATTAAGATTATAAGCATACACCACTGAACTGTGCGCTTCGGCATGCTGTCTCTAACCGTGGGCACTGAAGCCCTGCTTTTTCCGAGACTGTTGGCTTGTTTTGGCATGAAACATTGTCGGAACTCACTCTTATGTTTAATAGACCAGTAATGCCTGAGTGTTCTCAGACGTCTCAGAAATTCCACCTAGTCGTGATACTAGAAGCACATTACACAGGAATTAGGACATCTTGATGCAGAAGTTTCCTAAATACTTACCTCTAATTTTGTCTACCCCCCCTTTGCGTTTTTCCTACTACTCTCTCAGCTGCTCTGAGATGGACTGTACTTAGAAAATTCTGTCAGATTTGAGTCTTGAAGTCAGTTTTTTCAGGCCAGCATATAATAACAATGTCTATTATGTCCCAATTTGTGTTACATAGATAGCATTTATCATTGTTTATTTCAAAAATATATATTTTTTTGAGACAGGGTCTCCTTATAGCCCTAGCTGGCCTGGAACTCACAATGTAGATCAGGCTGATCCTAATTTCGAAGAGATCTGCCTGCCCCTGCCTCCAGAATGCTGGGATTAAAGGTGTGCACTACCGCACCTGGCTACTATAAATTTTAATAAGATTGCTACAAAATGGCTAGTATTCAGATTTATTAATTTGCCTATTTTCTGAAACATCAGGTCCTAAATTAACAGTTAACTTCAACCCAGAGAAAAGTCCATATAATGCTGGTGCTTGTGTTTTAACATTCACACACACTTCTTCATTCTTGAAAACTTTACTGCTCCTTCACCCCCTACCCTCCAACTCTTCTGTCTTCCCGCCTAGCTGCAGTGGGTATCCCATGAAGGTCACTGACTGAAACAAGCTGCTGACTCTACAGAACCGGAAGAGAACTTTTCCCATTATTTAGTCCCAGTTAAGTGGCCAATGTGACCTCCTCAAGATAAAAAGTGCTTATAAGAAGGCTGACTACTGGAAATTTTTTTTGAGACCTTGAACACAGTAAAGCTACTACTATTTTAATCATGAGGAAACTTCTAAAAGTAAATAATACTTAAAATACAAAGTTACAAATTTCAATCTATTTTAAACTTTAATTTGTGCATTTGTGGTAATTTATGACTGCAAAACACTTTTTTTCTTAGAATGACATAAAGGCACATTTCATTTGAATGCATAGTGTACCATTCTAAAATTTCCCAATTTCCTTATAAAGTGCTTGAGCAGTCACATACACATACAGTAATAGCAAAATATATTTACACTCTTAAATTTTTAAAT